CGCAACTTGATTAAAGTAGAGGGTGTCATGCTCAGTGAATGGAGTTAGCAGGAGAGCAAGGAATAACAGATGATGTCACTTCTATATGGAGTATGTAGAAGAAGTGAGAGAGTTGCAGTGACCAGTGAGATCAGACTCTGAAACTGTCTCTGGACCAGAAGTGACAAAGGCAGGGACAGGCACGAAAAGGGATATTAACTAGTGATGGGTGTGGTGCATTATCTTTGTAAATCTAGAACATGGCTGTGAATTGTTGTAAATCATGATTGTTTCGTTAAAAATAGTAAAAATATCTAGAAAACAAAGAGCATAATATACGTCAGAAAAATGAAATTAGAAACTTAATAGAAATCAAAATCGAAAAAAAAAGCTATAGAGAAAGTTAACGAACTCAAACCATTGTTTGAAATACCAGCATGGTTGCTGAAGCTCTTAACAAGAATAAAAAAAGGATTAAAAGATATGAGACAAGTTATCAGTCTACAGAATTGAAATGGAAGATCTCACTATTAACCTCTCTCCTGAAGAAGGTCATAAGAAACTTCTATAAATTTAAAAATCTGAGTGAAATGAACCTTATCCTTGAAAATGAAAAGCTATTAAAACATAGCCCAAATAAAAGAGGTAACTGAAGAGTCCTAAACTTTTTAACAGAAAATAAAATCTTATTTACTGTGGCCACACCCATCAGTACTCAGGGCTTACTCCTGGCTATGTTCAGGAATCACTCCTGTGGGCTCAGGGGACCATTTGTGGTGGTGTAAATTGAACTGAGTCATCTACGTGTAAGACAAGTACATTACCTGCTGTACCATCTCTCCAGTCCCAGAAAAATAAGATTTATTTTAGGTGAACTAAATACAGAAGGAAATGAAAAACTAGACTAGAAGTAACAAAAGGACATTGGTGACGTGTCTTTAGTACTATATCAAATCCATTAACATGAACACTACTGTAAACATATGACTGTAACAAATACATTTTTACAGAAAAACTAAATATAAATTTTGGAGTGAAAATATGTACTATTTGAAATTTAAGCTTTTTAAAATTTAACATAATGCAGATAACAAGGAGCTGAAGTGATAACTGCCTTGCACGCGGTCGACAGAACCTACCCGGGTTCGATTCTTCCATTCCTCTCGGAGAGCCCAGCAAGTTATCAAGAGTATCTTGCCTGCATGGCAAAGCCTGGCAAGCTACCCATGATGTATTTGATATGCCAAACACAGTAACAACAAGTCTCACAATGGAGACATTACTGGGCCCGCTCGAGCAAATCGATGAACAACAGGAGGACAGTGACAGTGACAGTGACAGCAGATAACAAGGAAAGAATCAGCGTGAAGGAATCCTCATTATTTTCCCTTTTCCCCACTCTTGAAAAAATTAAAAAATAGGGGAGCAATGGCAGGTGGGCCAATGGTGGAGCATTTGCCTTGTATGCATAAGGCCCTGGGTTCCATTCCAGGATCCCACCTCCCCCCAACACACACACACACACACACACACACACACACACACACACACTCATATGCCCACGTGCACAAAGGGAAACAGACTGAGGCATCACTCAATAGGGTAAGTGTGTGCTTTGCATGCAGGAGGCTTTTGATTGGGTCTCTGGTACCACGTGATTCCCTGAGTCCAGAGCCAAGAGTGACCCCCAGGCAGCCCTGGCTGCGCCCTGCGTACCACCACCACCCTACAAATGAAAAAAAGATAGAAAATTATTGATGAACACAGCACAAGAGTGGTTGCAAAGGAGAATTGATGGGTAAATGGGGTAAATGGGCAGATTGATTGGTCAGAGATACATAGTTTATATGATGCATATGCCCTGAAGGTAGAATGGACAGAACTGGAACTGTCATTAATATGGTAGTTTTAGGAAGCAGATCTTAGATGCTGAATATCTTAATTTATTTGCTTGTAGTCACACAGTCAAATCATTGCATTGTATGTTTTAAATCATACAGATTTGTCAGTTATATCCCAATGAAGCTGGAAGAATGCAAAGTCAGTGTTTTGGCTTCCAAGAAGAGCAGTGGGTTAGAGAGGCTGATGGTTAAATCAGCATGCAGATTTGTCCTTTTGGGACCTTGTAATTTGGAGCTGTGTTGTGTTGGGCAAGTTCTGGAACCTTCTGTGGCCTCCCTTTTTCTTGGCAGCTTCACCACCCAGAGTGGTGATGAGATACGGAAGGTCCTCTGTATCTATCTCACTGGACCCACGCTCTGAAGGGAAGTGTCAGTGCACAGTGACCCGGGAGGGAACCGTCAGATGGCTCCTCTGAGGCAGAAGATCTGGAGCCCTTTATGGGCGCAGTAGCGGCTGAGAGTGGGGACCATGAAAACTTGGATCCTCCAGCAGGTGTCTGCATGTGGGTGCTTTGGTCTTTAGCTGTTTTCTTTTCTGTTAGTGTCATGTTATAGTAGCTGGGATACCATCTGTCGATGAGCCTGGCTTATTTAAGAGAGTGAACACACATATTACTTTGAGATGAGTAGTCAGGCTGTTTCCAGAATGTGTTTGACTACACTGACCTGTGTGGAAGAGCAGGCTAGGGAGCTTCCTGGTGGAGGAGGTGACTCCTGTCTTAAATCTTAAAGGAAAAAGGCAGCCTGACACAGAAGTGTGGGTAGAACTTTCAAGGGTCAGACAGAGCATGACTGAAGTGGGTTCAGATTCAGGGATTTGGAGCTGCTGGCCCAGGCCATGAAGGATGTCAGGTCCATGACAAAGAGTCCAGACTTCCTGCTGCATGTGTTAGGATTGGGATCCGTGTCTGGACACTGTTTGCCAACTGTAGCGTTGATGTTGTGTCAGAAGCATGCAGCAGAGTGAAATCAGGGCCTGAGTTGTAGGCAGTGAAAGCCCAGCCACAGGGACTATGACTTGACCCACTCACCTTCACAGTTTCTTCTTCTTGGGGTTTTTACAAGGATCAAATGCAGAACACACATTTGACCAGGATCTTGCCACAGTGGCCAGGTGGCTTATGTGAATTCGTAGTTAATCATAATATGTCTAATGAACCAGCTTACCCAGACTGTCTGTCAGTTCCAGACCACGGCTGGCCTTCTACTGTGCATTACTCACAGAGTACTTTCATGGACCGGAGTACTTTTTAGGATGAGTTGACTATGATAGTAATTATCTGTGTTGTATAATAAATGATTCCTCAAATTAGAGGCTCAACAAGAACAATAGCTTCTATTATTTCTCATGGTTGTTGTGTTGGGAATTGAGGTGTTAAGGGACACTGGGCACTTCTGTCTCAGAACTGAAGGCTTGTCTGTGAAGTGGCAGCTTTATGTGGCTGCAAGTTGGTGCTGGCTGGTGGCAGTCTCTTCCCCTAGCTCCTCAGAGGGGATCCGAGACATCAGGGCAGAAATCCACACCTTGCCCTCGCCACTCTGTGTTGTCAAACTGAGCCGCTCTGAGCAGCTCTGTGGGCAAAAGTGCCAGGAGGATTAATGATGACGTACTTCACTTTGCAGTCTGGCTTGCCCAATTAAGAGGGTTCAGTGTAATGCTCCTTTACCCGAAGGGCGTTTCTCCCCTGCCCTCTCCTATCGCAGTCCTTCTGGCTGGCCTCTGGCCCAGACTGTTTTTCTGTGTGTTCTTAAATTGGCATACAAAACCTTTATATTTTTTTCTTTTTCAGTTTTTGGGCCACATCTGGCAGTCCACAGGACTTACTCCTGGCTCTGTGATCCAGGGGCTCTACTGATAGTGCTTAGAGGGATCATATGGGTGCTGGAGATAGAACCTGGGTGGGCTGTTTGCCAGGCAAGTGCTCCTTGCTGTCTTGCTGTCTTGTCGCTGACTCAAGAAGCCTTTGTTTTGCCTTCTATTTTTATTCCAAAGGCAGGCCCCTCTTGCTCACCAACCCACAGGCTGTCTTTAGAGTACATATTTGTCTTTGCGAGGAACCTCACAAACCTCAGAGGCATAGAGAGAAAACTCAGAAAACAAATCTTGAAAAAGATAGCAGTACTAGCTGTTCTCTTTTTGAGTTGCAGTGACTCTGCCTGCTACTTGCCAGTCTGTAGCCACAGATGAGCCACAGGCTGGTTGTCCATCCAAGGGCGTCCTCTTGGCACTGCACTAACCCCCAGGAGAGACAGGAGACTGGGAGCCGTTTTGGCATGTGTACCAGGGAAGCCCAGCTGGGGACAGACCCAGGCCGCCTTCATGCCACTTGTCCCCAAGCCCAAGCTTTTCCCCTCATGACACAGCTGACCCCTAGGTTCATCTTGGGAAAGCATATCGGATGCCCTGTTGAAGACTCAGGGGAGCCCACCATGGGGGTTTGGTGCCTTTGCTTCATTTTCCAACATCTTCCTGCATTGCCTCCTGTCACCATTGTGGGAAGAAGCACAGCTGCAGCCTCGGGTGTGACAGTCCTGTGAAATCGCATTGGTTCTGGCACTCAGTAGGCATTGTCAGGGCAGGGACCTGCACATGCTTCTTGCAGTTACACAGTGCGCCCAGTTGGAAGATCCCCCATAGGAATTTAGACGTAGATTTATCTTGACAGCCATTCAGATTGTCCGGAAACGGAAGAAGGACAACACACAATTTAGAGACATCGATTCTGATTCTCATGGGGACATTGTCTAGCTTCTTTTCTTTCAGGAAAAACTATAATTTCAGGCACATGCTGATGCTTTTTGCTGTTCAAGACCATCACATTTATGGTTTAGTCAGTTGGCTGTATGTACCCTGGAGAAATTGATCTTTGTGAGTCTGCTTTCTGGAACAACCCCCTGCCCCATCAGTGGGATAGGTGTGGAATGGGGGTAGCTGGATTCCTGTCACCGTGTCCATGCTACAGTCTGTCATAACTTAGCATTGTGTTATAAATAAATAACCCCCGACCCCTGCCCAAGTCCGGACTTATGCAGGGATTGAGAGAGTTTGATGACGCAGAAACTCTTGTTGTGGAGACAGGCCAACTTTCACATTCTCTCTTGTTTTCTCCTCTTTTCCAGCCTGCAAGTATTCCTGCCACAAGAAATGTGAAGCTAAGGTAAGGGTCAAGTTACTTTCCCATGGGGCTTTTTATAGTTGAATTGGTCTTTGATGAGTGATACACACAGAAGAGGGACAGTCTAGCCACAACCCCAGAAATGAAACTTCTTGAGAAATGGCTACTAAATTCTTTCCCTTAGGACGTATATGTTTCATCTAGGGAATGAGTGGAGGGGCTTAAAAATCCATGTTTTTCATTACAGAAAATAACTCTTAAGAATTTGGTTTCAGATGAGAAAGAACAATTTTGTTTGGCCGCGTCTCTGTGTTCTTTCTGTGAGAGATGACCCTTTGTTTCCAATTACTCGACAGGCTGCTTCTTGGGTGCCTTCGGGAGTGAGGGGTCGAAATAGAGGTTCAGGCCATGAATCTGGCCCTGAGACTCTAGTTTCTTTCAGAAGGTGTTTGTGGATTGGTTGGATTTCAGCCTGTGGTAAGCATCTGGGGACCCAGACTCAGGGTTTGGTTTTTCTGCTTGCAAATTCTCCTGCGAAGTTCTCTTCCCTTTGGAAGCAGTGGGGCCTGCTGGGCGTGGCTGCACATAGGTTTCTGCTGAGGAGGCCTGCAAACACCCTGCACGTGTTAAGTGGGGAGGAAGTGCAGGCTTACCGGGGTTGAGCCCTGGGTCTGCGTCTCTCACACTTTCTAACTTGTTTTTTCTTTTTGGGTCACACCTGACGATGCACAGGGGTTGCTCATGCAGTCAGGAATTACTTCTGGAAGTGCTCGGGAACTATATGGGATGCTGGGAATTGAACCTGGGTCAGCCATGTGCAAGGCAAATGCCCTACCCACTGTACTATCGCTCCAGCCCCATCTCCCACACTTTCTATGCATGAAGTCTCCTTCAATGCCCAGTGGAGCCAGAGTGCACCATCCTGAGTGCTAGCTGGGAGCCTGTCAGTGGTCCTGAGTGATTTCTTCATGACTGGAGCTTCAGGAAGATGGAGTTTTAGAGCAGTGGTTCTTAAATCACTGGCCTGGGCACTGAGTGTGAACTTGTCATCCTTAGAATTGTGTGGAGGTGAGTCTCCTGGGTTTGATGTGTGGAAAGTTCCCAGCAGGTTCTCTGGGTATCAGATAAAGGGAGCTGGGCAGACAGACCCCTGTGGCTGTGAGCTGGCTTCATGTGGCACATTCTGGACCTGGGAGCTGGGGTCTGCTTTCTCCACCATCCCACCACCCCGGGAGACACATGCAGACATGCATGCAGACGTACGCACATTCATGCAGATGCATGCACTTCACATACATTCATACTTGTGCATGTGCATAAGTCACAGTTGGAGACATACATACTCACGTGTGCATACAGCCATTCACACATGCATTCACGGGAAAACTGCAGGCTCTCCAGGCCTGATTCTGTTTTCTTTTAATAGTAAAGATAGAATGAATTCAGAATTTTATTATGAAGAACATGGAACATGCAGACGTCATGTCTGGCATGGAGTTACTAGTGTTACCCTGCAGCCAGCCTCCAGGCCTTCTCCCAACCCTTTCTGTCGCATTTGTGTTTGGTCCTTGCTTATTGATGTTGCATGGGAGATGGTGTGGTTCTGTAGTCGTTGGTTGGCTGATGGATTTCTCTAGTTAACCAGAGTGTGTGAGTGGATGATCTTGCCTGGACGGGAATTGACCCAAGCCTCCCACATGCAGTGTGAGTGCTCACACCTTTGAGGTATCTCCTGGCTCCCATTTCCTTAGTGACATCACAGTCTTCTTGCTCTCCTGCACTCTCGGATATGGCTTATTTCTAGACCATTCTTTAGTTCTGTCTTGTCCTCAGACACGCTCTGCTCTCAGGTATGCTGTGTACTTTTAGTCTAAGTGATTTTGTTGGGGGCTGGAGCGATAGCACAGCGGTAGGGCGTTTGCCTTATAAGCGGCCAACATGGCCGACCCGAGTTCGATTCCTCCGTCCCTCTTGGAGAGCTTGGCAAGCTACCGAGAGTATCTCGCCCGCACGGCAGAGCCTGGCAAGCTACTTGTGACGTATTCAATATGCCAAACACAGTAACAACAAGTCTCACGTTGGAGACGTTACTGGGCCCGCTCGAGCAATCGATGAACAACGGGAGGAGCGTGATCACCGTGATTTTGTTGGAGTAAGAGCCCTTTGTAGTTCCCACATCTGAGGGAATGTTTCAGGTTACAGTAGTTTTTCATACTCTCTGAGCTTTTAGAAATGTCCCTCCAGTCCTGAGCATGGCCTTCCCATGCACACAAGGTGCTTAGACACATGAACAATGTGGCATTTTCTGCATAGCTGGTGTCTCATCCCCACAGTGGGCAGAAAAAGGAGAAGCATCTCAGTATCTGGATGTCATGTGCCATTTCTGCACATATGCGTGTGTATGCACACACACCTATATGCAGAGTGTGTGCATGTAGATAAAATGTGTACATGTGAGTGTATGTGAGTATGCATGTATATATGCACCTTGTACACATCAGTTGTGCATTTGTGCAAGCACCTTGAGTGCGTGAATGTGTGTAAGCACTTTGTGTGTGAGTGTGCCTGCGTCTAAGCCTGTGTTTACATGAGTGTGCATGTGTGCATCTTGTGTATGTGGGTGTGCATTGTATGCTCCTTGTGTATAAGAGTGTACATGTATGTGCACCTTGTATATATGAGTGTGTGCACCTTGTGTACATGTGTATGCATGTGTGTGCACTTTGTGTACACGAGTGTGCATGTATGTACCTTGTGTGCGTAAATGTGCTTGTGTGTGCACCCTGTGTACATGAGTGTGTGCACCTGTGTACTTGAGTGTACATGTGTGCACCTTATGTACATTGGTGTGTGTGCACCTTGTGTACATGAGTGTGCGTGTGTGAACCTTGTTTCTCTGAGTGTGTGTGTGTCTGCATGAGTGTCTGTGTGTAAGCACCTCGTGTGTACATGTGTGCCTGTGTGTGCACCTGCGTCTATGAATGTGTGTGTGTATTTGCACCTTGTGTATGTGACAGAGCCTCTTGCTGTGACTGTATGGCTGGCTCAGTTATTTCTGACCTCATGCTTTTAAAAAGTTACTAGTTTGTCAAGGGGTCCCAGCCCCAGTTACTCATGGCGTTGAATTTCTTGGTTTAGAGGTTATTCCCAGAGACTTTACTTTTACTGACTCTGACATTTGTCTTTAATAACTGGTGATTTGCTGGTAGCTAGAAGAAGTTTTATTTTCATTAGACACTGGCAGGAGGGCACTGGTTGCAGCCCTATGGCTCAGTGGCAGGAAGGCCAGGAGCAAGGATGACCATGCCCCTTTTTACTCTGAAGCAACAGTGGCAGTCCCCTTGCCCCCCAAGATGAGCTGAGATGTGGCTCTCAGGTGCTAGGGTCTTTGGTTACCACAGCGTAGGGGTCCTAAATGCAGGTTTGACTGGTTTTCCTGGAACTAGGAAGTGTGAGTATTGCAGACAAATCTAATGTTCTTGCTGGATAGGTGGCCTGACCTGCTGATGGGGTGAACCATGTTCAGCAGGTGCCCTCTGAGTGGGACCCACAGACCTCGTGGACAGACAGTTGAGGAGTGTTTGCAAGGCCTTAGGACTCTGCGAGAAATGTTGCAGCTAGTGGTGGACTCATGATCATCACAGTGGCTCTGTCAGAGGCTCCTCGCCGGGCCTCAGGTACCTCTTGGATAGACCAGAAGCTGTGGCGAAACTGTCTGCAGAATGGGGGCTGAACCTTCGTGGAGAAGGTGGACAGTGAAAGGGAGACGTCAGCCTGGCCCTGATGCCCCAGGGTCATGCTCCCTGGGTTTGGAGCAGCATGAGGCTCTGCAGGTGAGGTCAGGTAGAGCACAGACGTGCCTGGGATCCCAGTGCAGTCTGCTGAAGCGAGGTCAGTCCCCAGAGCCTCCGTTTCTTTATGTGGACAGTGGGTGAATATTCCCATGACCGTGACACTCCTTTGCTGTTAATTTGATAATATTATCTAGGTCTTAGGAAAGCCAAATAATGTATAATTACTGAACGTTTGGGATTCCAGATTGTGGGACTGTGTATGCTCAGGGAGACGCAATGTCTGGGTGCTGTGATTTGGATTATTCCCGACTGCTGGTTGACTCACTGGTAGGGGGAAAAAGGAAGTTTCAGAAATAAAGCTGATTCAGAAGCAGACAATGGTGAGCTGCGCACGGTGGGGGAGGGAGATAGGCCCCCCTCTGTTCCCAGAAGCATGCAGTCCCTGTCACTCCTGGTGACAGAAACTCCAGCTTTGCTACTGACGCCCCAGTCATGGCCCTTCCATACCTGCCCTCCCTGGGTAACAGCTCAGGCGTCCTGACCACTGTGTGCCCACCCCACCGCAGGACCCAGGGCTGTCTGGGTGAGCATTCTGGGGAGCCATGCGGACCAGGCTGTGGGGCTGCTCTGGCCTCAGTTCGTTGGACCCTGCTCTCAGAACTCAAGTGAGGCTTGTGATTTGTCCAGAGCCGCAGTAGCTTCACGGGCCAGTCTCCCTGCCGTGTCTTGTGTGGACACAGCTCTAGATCTTAACTCTGCCATGAAGTTCAGAGTCCAGAGCTGAACTTCCTTGGTGCTGGGGGCAGATGCAGCTGCCCGGCTTCTGCAGGTCGCCCTGTTGACTTAATCATTAACTGAAGTCTGGCCATGGGCGTTCATCTCCAGACTGTTTCTTTCTCCAACTCCAAGCCATAACTTGCTGTTGGAGGCTGCTGTGCCCCGGCTGTTTTCAGTGGGTGAGAAATGAATGTCTCTTGTCACAGAGCTCCCACGTGCCACCGGTCGAGGGTTGCTCCGTGCCGCGGTCAAGTTTTTGCTGTTCTCAGTGTTCTTTGTGTGGGTTCTTATTTCCTGGGGTCCCTGGTTGTGCCACCTTGGTGCCACTGTCCATGGACCCTCCGGTGACCTCTAGCCCTGATAGTGCATCTGGTACAAGGACATGAAGAGGGTGCCCTCACAAAAACGTCTGCTTCTAGGGCCCCCACCCTGCTCCATGTCTCCCCACAAGTTCACTGTCCACCAGTCCCC